GGAGGGACATTTTTGCAAGCAGATATAGTTGGCAAGCAAGAAGTGCCTGCAAGGATAACATATCGTGCTTATTCGTTAGCGTCCCCAGGAGAGAATGCATGTTACTGGGCGATTCAATCCGAGACCCCAGCGGAAGTTGAATCTCCGGATGAACAGAATTGGCCAAATTAAAGATACATTGGAAGATTGTTGTCCAGCAGACATGTCGGTGATCCGCCATTGATGCATTACCAGTTGGCTCCTGGCGGTCTTCTGAATAGAGGCCCTCCATGGCCTGCAAGAAAGTAGGGCCATGCAGAAATGGGAACAGAGGATGCCAAACTTTGAAGTACATCATCATGAGTTCCCGAGCTGTATCAAGCGGGGGAGCATTCCCCAAGACTGCTGCTACTGCGGGATCATATGCCCATTGGCTCGGAAACTGATCATCCTGCAGTGCAGCCGGGGACGTTTTCTGCGAGGCATCACTGCCTACCAGGGTATCCTCTGGCTGGGGGAAGTCTTGTGCGGGCGATGAACCACTCGGATCTAAACTTTCGGAGAAAGCCCGCCGGACGGTATTAATGAAGTAGACACCACTGGGGCTACCGACAAATTGGCTCTCATCCTTGGAATGGGCAGTCAGGGAACCAATCTCGGATGGGCCATTGGTAAGGTCCGGAGGCTCCATTCTGGTGGGATCATGATGCTGCCGTCGCGGATAAGGAGAGAGCATGGAAGAAAAGATGGCGTTGAAGTCTAAGAATCTCGGATTGAACTGCGAGTCGCAAATCCGTGTGCCTGCTTAGTCATGGACGACACTTCCACCGTCACCAATTCTGATATTACTGAGGTCAAGGTCTGTATATATATAATATTTATTCCGAAAGCAAATCGGTAATTCTCAAAACCCCATACTCACATGCAGACTCTCAACAGTTAGTGGGTGAATTTACTTTGAAGATGTGGACGTCTATTGCTGGCCAGTCTATACTGCTTGCTAGATCGGCCAAAAGAAGTAGGGAACAGAGAAGGGCAAGCCAGATGTTAGTTACTTCCAACTAATTAATCGGAATAATGCTGTTTCTCAAAGATATGTTGCCTATTTGAATGGATGGAAACTAGAACTAAGGATAATGCAACTGCATGTGGAACCGTTCACTCGATGCTATGCTTGACAGGAGAGGAAGTATTTCTATTTCTCGTCTTTCCCAACACCAACACACAATGCGAGAAAACCCAGGCAAATCGTCAACCGAAGAAGACCAATTACCGCATCTCTGTTTACTATGAAGCCAACTGCTGCTCGATTTCTTTGCAGACCGCATCCACAACTCCCTGCGTATTCGCCGAACCCCCGAGATCCGGTGTCAAAATTCCAGCAGCACACACCTTTTCGACACAATCCATCAGCTTTTTGGAAGCATCTTTCTCACCCAACCATGTGAGCATCTCTGCAGCGGACCAGAAGGTAGCCACCGGGTTGGCGACACCCTTCCCCATGATATCGAAAGCGCTTCCATGGACCGGCTCGAATAGCGAGGGGTTCTTGCGGGTAGGGTCGAGGTTGCTGGATGGTGCCACACCAATGGAACCAGCCAGGCCAGCTGCCAGATCGGACAGAATGTCCATATGGAGATTGGTTCCCACAATAGTATCCAGCGAATCCGGCTTCGAAATCATGCGGAGGGTCATGGCGTCCACCAACACCTTGTCCCAGGTGACATCCGGGAAGTCTTTCGCGACCTCCTCAGCGACCTCATCCCAGAGGACCATTCCATGGCGCATGGCGTTACTCTTGGTGACGACGGTCAGGTGGCGACGTGGTCTGGAGCGTGCTGTTTCGAAGGCAAAGCGCATAATTCTCTCGACACCAACCCGTGTGAATATGGCCACCTCTGTCGCAGCTTCCCATGGCTGACCCGTGTGGCTGCGTCCACCTTGACCACAATACTCTCCCTCGGAATTCTCTCGCACAAGGACCCAATCAATGCCATTCACAGCTGTGGTCAGAGGTGACTTGGTTCCGGGAAAGGTGCGCACAGGACGGACGTTGGCGTATAGTTGCAATGGACTGCGGAGTGCTAGTAGCAGGCTCCATAAGGAGACGTGGTCGGGCACGTCTAGATTGATTAGTGCGTGAATTTCGAATGACTGCTTGTCTTGACAGGATCGAATATCCATACCTGGATGTCCCACAGAGCCAAACAAGCCTGCGTCGAATTTCCGCAGAGTATCCAAATAACCTTCAGAAACGTACCGACCATGTTGCTTGTAGTACTCAGTGCCCCATGGGAGATGCGTGAATTCAATGTCGAATGTGTTCAACGTCTGAGCGAGCTTGTTGACCACTTCAATGGTTGCTCGCACCACTTCCTCGCCAATGCCGTCACCGGGAATGGATGCGATGCGATAAGTAGGTTTCTCTGTAGCCATGGTGTTTTCGCAAGATTGAAACACGGTACTAGTAAGATCTGAGGCGAAGAACGAATCTCTGGATGTCAATACTATGATCCCCGCATCTTGGATGCTCTATATACTTCCCCGCTCCGGCTATTATTCAGGCTGAAGGTTTGTCCTGCGCATGTCGCCATATTTTCGCCGCATGCAACTTTATTCGTGTCTTGTGATTCCACCTTTCAATATCTACTATAGCCAGTAGTTCATTTTCGTTGGTTCTATTATTTTTGGAGCTAGTATAGTATGGAGGCAGAGATGGATACTGCTGCGCTTATCTAATCTAACCTATACCGAATTAGGGTCAACCGCACAGGCCGGCTTCCTACTGATCTCCATATGCCGTTCTGCGATGGACTGGCTAGGTAGGCCACAACCACCAACGTGTATAATGTATAGATGCTGAGTAGATGGACAGATGTGCAGAGCAGGGTGATTGTTGATCCCTGAAGAACAGACACAGGCACAGCACAGAGAAGGAGCCACGCGTCGGCTAAGCGTTCAGCCGTGGAAGTCCCACCGACCCTGCGCTTATCCCGAAGTGGCAATCACGATCGACCCGAATTGCTTAGCCTTTCTATGGCGGCAGTCCGCTGCTCCATAACGCTTTTCCTCGAGCGCCCTCTTAATCCTGCCCTCTGGCTGATACTTTGTACTACGATGATCCCCGAGCGGAGCCGGTCAATTTACTGCATACTTTACTGCGTTACCCTTCGTCCAAACTATTAACCGGTCAACAATGGCGCCTGCAAGGCCGAACAAAGTGTCGCGCATCACAGTGGCTTGTAATTCCTGCCGGTTCCGGAAACAGAAGGTGAGATTATTCTATTCTTCGTGATTCTTCGCATCTAACAGTCCATGTGTTTCTAGTGCAGCGGCAATAAGTAAGTAGAACGTTCTCGTTCTTAGTTCTATCGCTTACTTATGCAATCCAATCTGAAAGGCCAATTTGCACTCAATGCGACCAGCACAATCGGTCGTGCGACTGGCCCGAACAATTAAAACGGTAAGCTACGCTAGCTGCTGACTTACGAGTGTCCAAGCTTATACGTCTTAGTGGCCCGGCAAAAGGTTACATAGAAGCCTTGGAACACCGTCTTCATGAAACAGAGAGTCTTCTTTTGAATCTTCTCGCCCAGATCCCGGACTCTCAGCTCTCTGCCAGTGTCCAGGGACGCCAAGATCGTTCAAGCAGGCATCGGAACAGCGGCAGTCCGCCTCAAACGTACTCGTCATCTTCCCGCCTTGGAAAGCGAGGCACCGACTATTGGAAGAAGTTTCCTCTACACACAGTACAGGAAATCCGGGACTGGCAGAATGACTGTTTGAGCAATGAAGGAGATGGTTCGTCACGACACTCTTCGGGACCTGAAGCCGCTGAGCGTCCTACTGTCTCACACCCTGAATACCAACCGGAGACTGGATCTCCAAAAGACCAGATGCCCGAGTTCCAAGGATATCGTGAAATGCCTACGCTACCACGGATACACCAGATTGACATACCCAATAGCCCGATCGATGCCGGTTTATCGCCGGCTAAAGTTCCATATAGCAGCGCATTAGATGGTGAGGCCAGGGAGAACCGTCCACGAATGGATCCTGTTTTCGAAGCGATACAGTATCAACGCGCTCGAGCGGAGGCGGTTCATGAGTTTCCTAGTTTGCAGAAACCGAGTCTGTGGAGGGGTGCACCTCCAGTGAGCTTTCAACAGCAATTTCTTTGGTAGTCCATCGGACAAGAGATACACGGGGCCTGCAAGAGATCGTTGACGACAAACCTGATCCATTGCTGGATGTCACAGCGTTATAGTTTCAGCGTTGTGTCTTTATAAAAGAATCTTTATTCTATTATGGAGGAGTCCTTGGGTCTACTGGTTAAAGGGGACCTATATGCTGTATATACAACGGCCTAGTCATATACTATTTATCTATCAGTATGACTAAACGAGTAAGATATCGGGAGACTCTCAAGACCGGCCTCTCGGAATTTCAGTAATCACAAAATGCATCATAAATTACCTGTAAAACCTGTGGGATAAGATTCTCGTGATATATTACCCAATCGGGAAATCATGAATCTATCCGCCCGTCCCCACAACAAAACCCATATCCGTCGCAGCATTCATCCATCCCATCAATAGTCTTCCATATGATACTTGAGACTTAAGCAATACCTTCAGGCATATGCTCTACACAATAGCTCAGCACATGGGATCCTGCAAGTATCTCAAGCACTGCGCGTCTTACATCGCCATGACGCCATCAACCAATTAATACTAGGACGAAGTATATTCGCCGCCAACTATACACAGTACCATTACCACACAGCATATCACTCACTCAATCATGTTTACAAACCTGCATCTTTTGTGGAACCTTTCGTTCTAAATTTGGTCATACCATATACAATGAAACTTTATAACGCATGACCTCATCATAACGCTCCTTCAAACCTACTACTGATATACCTGGGTTACTTAAACCAACCTTTTTCCCCATTTCCAGTCACACCACATCACATCCCACTCGCAATCATAACTCTTACAGATCATCCCCTGCCAACCAATAACCACCCCCAATAAACCAATCCAATCCAGTCAAATCCTCTACTCATCCAAAATGCCCTCCAAACCAGTCGCCTCCCCACCCCCGCAACCGAAGAAAGTCCACGGTGCTGTCCGCGACGACGACCTCCCCATCGACGACTACGAGAACGCCTGGCACGAACAGCAAGAAGAAGAGGAAGAGGAATACCGCGAGCAGAATGATATCGCCTTCAAGGCTCCGAATGTTGCTGCCGCGAGGAGGATGAATACCGGTACTGCGCCGAATCCTGTCGAGGGGACGCGGAAGGGGACGACGGGGTCGGTTAATAGGTCGAAGACGACGCATTAAGTCTGTCTATCTATTCTTTCTCTTTCGTGAGCCATGGGTGATGTATTTATTGTATTGGGGGTAGGTTATGGTTTACGTTTGAAGTTGTGTGTAGTGTATATCATGAATCTAGTTTTTTGAATTTCCCTTTTTATCCAACCAAACCAGTCATCAACATCAACATCAATGTTATATACAACAATCACAATCTATAAACAACCATCATACTTATGCAAAATGAAAAAGTGGTATATAATAAATTTACAGCATAGGCTTCAGATCAGCAGAAACCTTGAAAGGAGCGGCAGTCTTGCTGCGGATCTCCTCGACGGTCACGCCCTCGGCGTACTCGGCAAGAGTCAGACCCTCGGTAGGGCTGACTTCGAAGACGGCCAGATCGGTGATGATCTTCCACACGCAGCGGGGTCCGGTCAGGGGGAAGCTGCACTCGGGGAGGATCTTGGGGTTGCCCTTCTTGTCGGTGTGTTCCTGTTCAAACTATTAGTAGTTGTTCGGGATTGTGAACGTAGGTAAAGAATTGTGACTCACCATGGTGACGACGACCTTGGTCTTCTCGGGGTTGGAAACGAGGTCCATGGCTCCGCCCATACCCTTGACCTTACCGGGAAGCATGAAGTTGGCGAGATCTGAATTCAAGGGTTAGTATTGTTCATTATAAGTTTGTGGTGAAGGGTGCTGAGCTTACCTCCGTACTGGCTGACCTGAAGAGCACCAAGCATGGTCAGGTCAATGCGGCCAGAGCGGATCATACCGAAACTCTCGTGGGAACCGAAAACAGAAGCACCGCGACCCAGGGTGACGGTCTCCTTGCCGGGGTTGATCAAGTCGGGGTCCTCCTCACCGGGCTTGGGGTAGCCACCCAGACCCAGGATACCGTTCTCGGCCTGGAGGACGACCTCAACACCCTCCTCAACGTAGGCGGGAGCAATCAGGGGCATTCCGATACCAAGGTTGACGTACATGCCGTCCTTGAATTCCTTGGCGGCACGCTTGACGATACGTTCACGACGGATGGTGGCCTCACCGGAACCTACAACACCAACACATGTTAGCAAATGTGCGCTATGAACTCGGGGCTTGGACTGGGTACGGACCAGCCTGGAGCATCTCGTTGGGGTCCTTGGCGAAAGTGAGCTTCTCGATCTTCTTCTCGCCGGTGCTCTGGATGACCTTGTTGACGTAGATGCCCTGGAGGTGGATGCTCTCGGGGTCAATCTCGCCAACTTCGACGATGTGGTCGGCCTCGACGATGGTGTACTTGGCGTTCTTGGCCATGGCCTCGTTGAAGTTGTTCATGGACTTGCGGAACTGGCAGTTACCGAGCTTGTCGGCCTTGTGGACCTTAACCAGGGCGTAGTCACCGAAAATCGATTCTTCCAGGATGTATTTCTTTCCGTTGAATTCGCGTTCTTCCTTGGGGGCGTTCTTGATAGCGACGCTACCGTCCTTGTTGTAACGAACGGGGAGTTCACCAGATTGCACTATACAATCGAATAATTAGTCTAAGTCCGGGACATAGACAGCCATTGAAGTATGCGTACCAATTGTTCCGTAAGCAGCAGGGGTATAGAAGGCAGGGACACCAGCGGCACCAGCGGCACACTTTTCCGCAATGGTACCCTGGGGGGTCAATTCCAGAGAGAGGTCACCAGTGAGATACATTTTCTCGAAGACCTTGTTTTCACCGATAAAAGAGGCAATCATCTTGCTGATCTGCTTGCTTTCCAGCAGCTGGCCTATTATTGTTGTCCGTTAGACCAATTACAAACCGTGTAATCGTTCAATCGCACTGGGGTAGACCTACCGAGACCAACACCGGGCATACCGGCATTGTTGGAGACGACAGTCAGATCCTTGATGTCCGGACGGTCACGGACGGCATCAATCAACGTAGTAGGGACACCAGCGAAACCGAAACCACCGACGAGAAGGGTCGAAGAACCCTTCATATCCTTGATCGCTTCCTGAGCGGACGGGCATAGTTTATCGATTGCGCGCTTGGCAGTTGAGACGGAGAAATTCCGCCTCCAGATGGGGCGGAACACCGCAGGAACAGGCCGCGACATGATTGTCGACCAGCCTTAAACAAAAGAATTGAGATCTGCGGAGGGAGTCAAAAAAAACCTGGGGAAAAGAAAGGAAAGAAGAGAAAGAGAGAAGGAAGGACAACGCCAGCGATAAAAAAGAAGCTCAGCCCAGGCCAGACCGGCTCTGCAGCATCGCGTAGCTCGCCGTTCGGCTAGTGAAGATGATGGCGCAGCCGACAAAAGCGATTATCCGCCGCCGACTTTCAGCATCGCTTTGCCGCCTTCCGAAGCCGACCCCACTGCCTGACCGCTGGGGTCGTATTGCCTCGTACACTTGTGGGGGGGAGAAACGTTCTGCCTGCGGGGTGTCCACAACCCCCTTGTTTGAATCACCCCAGTCTTTCCCCTCAAAAGCCCTATTTGAGGCACGCGCTCGGAGCGGGATGGCCTTGTCAAACATTCTCCGATTCTATCGGTATCCCCCAATGCACGGATTGTTTTATTAGTCACTTTCTGCTTGTCCGTCAGTCTATTCAGGGTCCTCCGGCATTGATGATTGATTAGATAAGCGCCCAATGGGGCGAACCCGTCACAACGACGGGTGTATTTTACGATTCCGATAGCGGGACTGCGTCGGCAAGACAAATCGGGTGAACTCGCCGGGGTTCCTGGCCAGCCTTGACTCTGCCGACTTTCCCTCCGACTCGGGAGATCTTGTGGGGTCTCGATCTGGGGTAGCACATTCCCCTGCTTTACAACAGCTTTTTTTCCCTGAAGTTTACATTATGAGGGTGAAGATGGACTACTCTGGCAACTTAAGATTAAAGACATAATTATTTCGCACTCTGGTCATACTCGATGCATGCTTCTGTCAGGAGGTTCGGTAAACCGACAACCACGTGACCGTAACCACAAACCATTCTGGGCCCCCAAGACACAGACTCCATCAACCATCAGCATTCAAATTAGCCAATGTATCCCCGTCAGTGTATGGTAAAAAACTGGCTGGTCTAGGGGTCTGGTGATCCCTATCATCAAGCGAAGTGTTCTGAGTGATAGGAATAATTGGCCAATTCGCTATGTTCAACTCGCAGAGAATGATTTTACCACGGCTATCGGCCAACTGTTCCACATTGTTGTAATTCTCAGGCCTATGGGCCATGATTTCGTTGTAGATCCACCGGATGTCACCGGCTGATTCTACCGTACAGTTCCACCACTCCATGGTCTCGGCCGTAGTACTATACACCCGACCGTTCTTTGTCTCAGCATATTTGCCCAGTCCGACAAAGAAATTACTGGCCGCAAAGGCATTGGTAGCAGTTACCAGGTAGTATCTTTGTAGGACGGGTTCCTGCATCCCGTCGACGACGTGCTCCTGGAGATAAGCGTAGTACGGCATGATTTTGACTCGGTCGGGGTTCTAGAGATATTGTCTTCAGTAATGCCGAGATGGGTGAGAAGATGTTAACAAACGAACAAAGGCCTTGATCAGATAGTTTATGATCTTGACAGGTAGTGGTAGATGACAGGTTTATGAGGTTATTTTATATGCGTAGGCACATCCTCGATTATGTTGCCTTAGTGGAATGTCCCCCATGCTGCGTAGGTAGGAATATAGGGCATTTACAGCGGATGGGAATCTTCCACAAGTATCAGTATAATGACACAAGATGTTTGAACTTTCATTCTTTGTGTTTTGCGAAATGATATGTCATGTACTACAATACATCTGGTTGATCTTTGTTTACATTCGGAACTAATGGCTGTAACTTACATGATGGTTACGGATATTTTCATATAGGGATTCCTGGATGTACAAAGACTAGCAATCCGTTAGATTTTGCCATTGGCAGGAAGTAGTGCGGGATTTGTAGTACCGTGATTCATGGAACTGCCAATGATCTAATAATGACTCTGCTAGTGTCATTATAGAAGCCAAAAGGCCTGAAAGCTCATCTAACAAACGGAGTTGACCGTCTTACCGCCAGCAGTACATGTGCCAACTCCAAGTATATTCCAGCCTACTAGTCGCTCGCAAGCCCGCTATTGGTGACATTGTGTGGAAAGAAGGAGGGTTTGGCTTTGGCTGAGCTTGTTCAGAAGGACAAGTATCATCGTCCGTGGGACTTACCGATTTTGAACTATCGCATTGCCGTTTTGCAGAGGCAGTTAGCTACCACGACGCCTCGCACGTGGGTTCAGCTTTGGATGGAAAAGAGGTATCCTGCGAGTTAGTCCAGATTTTGGAGGTAGTTTTGCAGTTTGCTCACAAGTTTGTACCGCAGGGTGTATTTGGTGGGTTCAATGGGGAAGTTTGCGATCATTGGAAGGCTTTCTGTACAATTGTTCTCTGGCTGTGTAGTAATATGCTGTGGAAGCACTATTCGATACTTCTTTCCGCCCAGCTTTGCACAACTCCTCGAGCTGTGGGTTCGTATTCCTTTATCTTTACATCATCACCGACAAGGTAAGTATTGGCCTGGCTAAACACCAGAGGAGGATCTTTCTTGGAGACAACAATATCTCTCCATTCCAGAGCTTGTTCGTTAACATGCGATAAATCCTCATAGAAACGGCGACAGTTGAAGACGTCAGCGGTGCAACGATAGATATGAAGTTTCAGGAGCATGCGACCCAGTGATGGTTTGCCATGAGAGATTACTCGCGATCGGTCAACTTTGACCGTCAAGCTATTTTTATCCAGATTGCTCGTAATGCTATAGAGACCGTCACTGTCGCGGAGGAGGTGCCGAAACATGGCATAGTGTGCCTGAATTGGAGTTAGGGGAGCGTTAGCATGGGAAGATTATAAACTAGACTTACTCGACTATGTGCTTGTCCCCATTTCTGTCATCCGTTAGCACTACCTTCAATATCCGTCATGTCTTAACTTACTTCGGTCGTGGGATCGTAATTCTCAAGGCCTCGAAGTCCATCGACGCCCAGCTGAAGATACATGTTGTAGGCGACTGTAAGTAACGGTCTTAGCTTCAATCTTCTGGCTTCTACAGGGCGACTTACTGTCGTCAGGCTTGACCTCGCTTTGGCCTGTGTAGCCAAAAATGCTCAGAATTTCTAGATCGTCGATCAAATAAGCGCCGACGAGTTCTGCTCTGCATTCATCCACTGTTGTTGCAAGGTCATTGAACACCCCCGTCCATGTTTGCCCAGCCCGATACAAGCTTTCTACGGGTTTTCCAGTAAAGGGATCCAGGGGCAAATTTCCAATGTCGAAATTGAGACCACCATCAGAAGATTCAGTCAAGTATCTTCCCGTGCCATGTCCGAGGATCTCATGCAGCACGACCCAGATGTAGTAGGCATGGAATCGATGCTTCTTGAAAGTATCTTGTTCTGATGCGTCCACCATGTGTAAACCGCGAGATCGACTACTCTCAGACACCATGCGGTTACTGAAGATGATGTTCTTGTAACCTGTATCTTGTCGAATGTCATTATACTGCTAGAAATTAGCGATATGCAATGGCCTCGGATGGGTTACTGACGTTTGAAAGGTTGATTCCTGGGAAAATGATACTCGAGCAGTATACCAGACCTAGACGTGTCAGCTTCAGGGTATGGTTGGGCATATGGAGGCTCACTGTTGATGCTTGAGAAATCAGGTGGCTCAAATAATTCCTTTTCGTAAGGGCCCTTGCTGTCACCGGTACCTTCAACCCAGGGAAGTTTGTAGACCAATTGTTTCGCTTTGCTTGCGAGTGTATTCAATATCTTGGTTTCGGCAGCATCCGGTATTCCGACTCTCCCTTCAAACTCTGCACGAATACATAATGGATCGCGATATGGCTCGACAAAGCCTATGACTGTTTCAACAGGAGGGGCCTTGTCATTCACCCATATCCTCAGTGATTCGCGGTATGCTTCGAGGCTTCCAGTCTGGAAGCTATCAATTATCTGCCGCAACATTTCCACTTGAGCAGCATTTGATGCGTATGGGATGGCTTGTTGCAAACATTCACAAACCCGTTTCAATTCTTCCTTGTGGTCTCCTTTCATCAGAAATACTTTCTTATCGGGCGCTCCCGATCCACCAAATCCTTCCAATGCCACCTTGTCCTCTGCCACAGATGCTTGCATGATATCATAGAAACGAGTATCAGAATCTTGATATGCCTTTAGTCGAGTATTTTCAGGCAAGATTAATTGATCCCCCATGAGATTTGATATCGTGGCAATATCTTCTGAAGACTTAAGGCAGTCCTCACCCAAATAATATGATGACTGGGTATACGGTCCAGGGTGGCCTAAACTGCTCGGAAGAGGGCTGATCATTGGGTCTTTGATCTGCCCTAGTATTCTACTCGCCGACGAAGATACTGATGCTAGAGAGGTAAGAGCCTCCTCGGATACATCAGGCGTAAAATTCTGGTCACCGGAGCCCTAGACGATTGAGGAAATGTTCACGCAGGAGGCCAGTTTACCCTTACAAAGTAATTGCCAACATTGGATAGGAATGTAGCGGCATATTCCAGGAAATTCTCCAGTTCTTGAACACCGACCCCAGTTTCGATGGCAAGTTGTTCCCAAATCCCGTCACAGCTATGGTAAAGGGCCATTATAAAGTCGAAAATACCATTAGCCTCTGGAGATACTTGACCGAGAATGATTCGCGTGCCATTCCAGGCAGCCCTTGTATGCAGCATGTCAGAAGTTATTGCTGCGCGTTTGTGGGTGGGAGACGTGTATTACTTCGCCATGTGGTGAGCATAGAGCTTTTCCTGTGGGCTCAAACCGTCAAATGCGGCGGCCACCGACAATTGGTATATCTGAGGTTTGACCATTGTTGTACCTGGTACTCAATTGACAGCGTAGCTCTAGAGAATACCATCGTAGATCATGTTGTTTTCATCACGAAACATTATTGTATGACCCCGCACATGTGACTTCGCGCGAGAAACCATGCCATCCTGCTAAGAAAAAGCATTTGATTGGCTGAAGAACACAATAGCAATTTGAAAATCCACAATAATCAAAACCTCTGTTAATATTTTGCTGTGCAAGCAAACATGTCAGTGCTCGCCAGATTTCTATTGCCTACTGCCATGCATTACGGTTGCTCCCGGACCCGCATCATTATGGAGGGTTTGTCAACCACGAAAATAATTTGATCTTCATGAAATAGGTTTCGTAATGTTAGTTAGATAAATCTTCCACCCGACCGTATGTTGCAGTATAGTACTATATATCGGTCACGGAAACCGAGAGACTGAAAGGCGAAGGCATGAAGGCAAATGTGGAACCCCACATTTCTTGCGGGGCTAGCCTTAAGCATGCGCGGGGAATTCCAGGTACCTCCGCTCAATCCACAGGGACGACTCGGCTACCCATACAGGCGCATGACATTGTCTACGAGGCTTGCCGGGAGAGCATCGAGAACAATCAATTTTTGCTTGAGTGCTTAATGAAAAGAGCTGAGGTGACCTCAGAAATGAGCGAAGAACATCTGAGCCCACTATGTAATCCCGTCAATTACTTGGGCGCATCGACGAGAATGGTGGAGAATATTCTTACTGTTGATTAGAGGCGTATCCTTCAGTCCATATGTATTACTATCTGAATCATAGCTCTGGCATAGACTACGCCCCATGCAATAAACACCTGTAGTTATGCCCCATAACACCCACTACCAAATATAAGCTTAAATGGTACGGTCCCATAACCTCAGATGCCATCTTGGAATGGCTCCACATACATAATCGGTAGCCCCGCCTTGGAGGAGGATTGGATTGTGGGGGGAGAAGCTTCCCTTCATGCGAGGTCTGCTGATAGTAAATACCCTAAGATTATTATGGGAACTTCAACACTCTCAGATCACCATGAAACTGCTTTCACCTCGCTGTCAGCCATGTGGGTCTTTCCTCAAGAGTAAGGGATACCCATACCTCATCAGCCCTGAACATGCCTACTTGCTCCACATGCTCCATCATTTGTACGTCGACAGCTATCATGGGATCATGAGGGGCCCATTCAAACCCTCAGGTTATGCATTGACGTATGTCTCGATCATGTTAATCAGCTACTATTGCCATCATATACTTAAAGTCTCTCTGTTGTTGCTGCTGCATCTATACAACTTCAGTCACGCAAGCCTTAATCCATCCATTCATTATTACAACTTTATTAGCTTCTCCAGGTCCCATACTTCTTCCATAATGCAGGCACCCACATACAATCAACGAAAACCCATTAAAGACCTGACCAAAGTTTTCCACTATACAGACACCATGACTCGGAAGCCTACCCGCGACAATGATCCATACGAATACATGGCTGGATTTGGGAACCGCTTTCAGTCAGAAGTCATCCCAGGCACCTTACCGGCTGGTCAAAACAATCCACAAGAACCGCGTTTTGGTCTATACACCGAAGGCCTTACGTACTCTGCCTTCACAGCCCCAAGAGATGCCAACTTTAGCACTTATATGTATCGGGTGAGACCAGCAGCTGCACACAGTATGTGTTTCTCTCTGTTTTCAAGAAGGGCAGATGTTCCTGACGTCGTGAAGATGGCTATAGGAAAGATTATGAACACAAATCAGACATCGAGAACTGCTTCCTTACACTTAATCACAAGGTGACAACGCTTGCTGGTCAGGCTGAATGGGCACCGTTTCCTCTTCCCAACGATGACGAGAAGATTGACTTTGTAGACGGTTTGCACACCCTTGGGGGAAGTGGAGATCCGAATCTGCGGGAAGGCATTGCACTCTATGTCTTCATGATAAACGCAGATATGGACCACCGAGCATATTGTAATGCGGACGGTGACTTTCTGATCGTGGCTCAGCATGGAATCTTCGACATACAAACGGAGATGGGGATGCTGTTCCTGCAACCCGGCGAAGTTTGTGTGATTCCGCGCGGAATCCGTTTCGCTATCCGTTTGGGCCCCAAGCACAATGTTGCCCGAGGGTACATCGTCGAGATATGGGGATCTCGTTGGGAGCTACCTGATTTGGGTCCCTTAGGTGGTCATGGATTAGCGAACCCGCGAGACTTTCTTCACCCTGTGGCCCACATTGACGAGAAACTCCATGAAGACTGGGAGGTTGTCAACAAGGCAAATGGTCGATATAGCGTCATTGAGCAGGATCACAGCCCATTCGATTTGGTAGCATGGCATGGGAATGTCATTCCCTACAAGGTATGCAACAATTGCCTTGTGAGACGATGATGAAAATGAATACTGACGGTGCCCTACAGTACGATCTAACCAAGTTCGCGTCCCAAAATGCAACCTCAATCGATCACACCGACCCTTCCGTGAACTGCGTATTGACTGCCCCATCTAGAGATCCAGTCACGCCATTAGCCGACTTTCTATGGTTTGGGCCTCGATGGGATGTGGCATCCAACACATTCCGCCCCCCGTATTTCCATCGCAACTCGGCCACTGAGTTCCTTGCGTGTCTGTATGGAAGCGGACTGGGGCGCTCTGAGGAGTTCTTGCCTGGTGGAGGTAGTGTTGAGGTCAGCCATACGCCACATGGCAACTTCAGCGATGAATATGTGCGTGAAATGCGCAACCAGGTGAACGAGCCTCGGAGAATCTTAGATAGTAAGACGATGACACTAGGCACCCCTGAAACAACAGATTGCTGAATCTACAGATCAAATGACTATTATGGTCGAAAGTAGCCGATCGCTCCTGTTCACCGAGTATGCGCGAAGTGGCTGTGGAACAATCAAGGACCAAGGTCCAGATCCCAAAGTATGGGATGCTTTACCTGTACGTCTTCGGTCTCCACGCTGGTTGGAGCAGAGCTGATAATCTTTGTAGGACAAATTCTCCGCGTACCCAAACATCAAGAAAATTCTCGGTCAAGTCAAGTCCGATAAAGAAGCATGGAAGAAGCAGCTAGAAGCGTATTATGATGATGATTGGCTGGCAGAAATGTACAAGGACCACGCCCAAGCTTAGCTAGGTAAACAAATGTGTGCGTATTTTGCAAGGCTGAGACAGTCAGCTCTGAATCATTTTGGAAGGCGCTACGACCAGCTGGCTGGCGTTTCGCGCGCAAGGCTCCAAGCAGCAAGACCAGCTTCCAGGAAGGAGAAGGGTATCGTAGAGATATTTGAAGACGATGCGAAAGCGATATTTTGAACATAGAAATCCGGGCGAGAATCATCCCAGGAGAAATGGTCGATTTGTGTATGCAAAATATGAATCGATTCGAATAGGATGTCTCGTCTCTTCAGCCTTGGGGGAAATCAGGCAGATGAATGGAAATAAAGCTCAGCCTCGCCCTCAACCCCGCCCACTCTTACCCAAAGTGACAGCCATTCCACCACGTCTTCCGTTGTAGCCTCTTCTATGTCAAGAGTCGGATCATTGTACAGCCCATTCTCCTCCCCTTCTTATTACTACAATTCTATCTCCTAAGTGGGACTAGAAGAGGAGAGAGATAAACTGATCTCTATCCTTCCTGACTCTCTCCTCGCCTGTGCTTCGTGGTCTGACAGCCATCCGCCGTACAGAAGATGCCCAGAAACTCATCAAAAAGCGACGTGCACACTCTCCATCAACAGGGCCACAAAATAACCCCACGACACGATGAGTACACCGTTGGGTGGATATGCAACTTGCCCATGGAGATGACAGTTGCGTCAATGATGTTGGATGCAATACATTCAGCGTCGCCCATACCGCTAGATGATTCCAGTGGGTATATTCTTGGAAGGATCCGATATCACAACATCGTTATTGCTTGTTTACCAAATGAGCCGTATGACTCAACGACATTTGCAGTGCTTGAGAGGCAGGTATTCTCTAATTTTTCATCCATCCGCTTCTATCTTTCAGTTGGGACCGGTAGTGGCATACCAAGCAGCAAAGCAGATATTCGATTAGGCGATATTGTAGTGAGCCAGCCGAGAGGCAAATCTGGAGGTCTGATCAGGTACGATTTTGGTAGAGTATTGAGCAGGGACGAATTCTCGCGAACTGAATCGCTGAATCAAGTCCCTGAGATTCTGTCAGCTGCTCTAGCTGTCATTCAAGCAGATCATGACTTTAAAGGGCTTATGAGGGGTCATGTCGCCAAATATCTTTGCGACATGCAAGAGAAACTTCCTCCTGGCGCCGCTAAAAGGTTCGCGCGGCCAGATGAGGACTATCTATTCCAAGCTGATTATGAACATTTCGGATTCAATTCGTGTGCAGATTGCGATCGATCCAAGTTGATTTTACGACCTGATCGAGAGCACGAAGAGCCTGCCATCCACTATGGATCCATTGCAACTGGAAGTCGAGTGATGAAGCACGGCCAACTTCGAGATCGAATAGACCAGGAACTAGGAATACTTTGTTTTGATTCACAAGCCGCACGTCTCATGGATAACCTTCCATGTCTGGCTATTCGGGGCATCTGTGACTATGCCGACTCTCACAAAGACAAAGCATGGCAAGGATATGCAGCTGCTGCGGCAGCAGCCTATGCAAAGGAGCTTCTTTTGATTGTTCCAGCCCCAAAAAGAATACTTTCTGGTGAGATATTCCGGATCAAATCAAATCCTGTCTGATTGCGCTCATAATTGTCCTACCCACATGTAGCGTCTATATCCGTTCGTATGCTGTCTCCAATAGACCAAGCAAGAAGCGCGGATACGAGTGGATACAGCAGTCCAAAACCGGGATTGAGTCAACAAAGGGAAAGTACCCTCAATGGGCCGCCAACAGATTCTGGATACGCATCTATTACCCACCAGAAGATTTCAGGTCGAGATGAATACCGCACAGAACATGTTCAAGATGATCAAGGCATAGTGCCTGGCGAAGAGGGATTCCCTTCTCCTCCGGCGGCAGCTAGCCCGAGAAAAGCAAAAGACGACCACAGCGAAGACACTAAATCTATCTATACAACTGAGTCTAGCATTTCCCCTTCGGATAAGCAGATCTATATTTCCGAATTGGTCAATGATTTGTTCAGAAAAGCCCAGTATGATCAAGATACCCGAAACCTTCGGGAAAGAATTCACGGTGTTCTTCCTCAACTTCTGAAAGCTTTTGCAATGAAATTTGGTCAATTAGGCTCGACTCCGATACACAGGGATATCATGGTGTTCATCCGTCGACATAGAAAGTTAGTCTCTCCCCAAGACTTGGCATCCCCTCCATGTAGAAACTGATAAAGTGGCCTGACAGTGAAATTGCGAATGGGTTGAAAATGAAGTACCTAGAAGATCAGACTGAAATCTATGTGTCCACACATGACGACACCAAAATGGAATTAGGCGACCTCATGGCTCTCTGGGACCAACATCTAGAGGATGCAGGTGATGATCTTGCCGTTCCACAGTTCGACAGTGGGGCAGTGAATTCAGATGTTGACGAAGATATACCAATTGAAGATGGTGATGAAAATATCCCTGAACATACGAAATATTGGGACTTAATCACCGCCAGCCCAGTGTATGAATGGCTAATTGGAAGTCTTCGGAGGAAACTTCACCTGCACCCAGCAGAGCCAAATGTTCAAGATGTTATTCGCGACCGAATCCTGGAGATTCTCCCGTCATCCCGAAGAGTCAGTCGATATGACCAGCCAACAGTATATCAGGTAGTATTCCTTCTCAGTTGGGATCCCGCGTCTTTCATCGCAGAGCAGGAGTATGACCTAAGTGAAGAAGGCTTCCTTGGGAAGATTATCACAATTACAGGGTCCAGTCAGGATGCTCAAGCAATGACTTGCTTGCAATACCTTCAGCAAACATGGCATTCATATGGTGCCGATATCCTTGAGCTAGTCGAGGCTACACTGCGTAGTGAGCGTGACTATAAACACAGCTGTACGCTCTCCCCCCATTGGTACCCGCGGATGCTTATCATGTGTATAGGTACACTGCCAGACAATACACGACTCGCGGCTTGGACGAATGAAAAGGAGTTTCTAGTTGAAGTCACTGGCATAGAGAGCTCAATTACAGAGATCGGGGAACAACTTGCGTGGCTAGGCTCTGCTCTCCGTTCCTCGCCCCACGAATCTAGGATATTGTACTGCACACCGTTCATCAGCAGCGCCAGCCCTTCTCCAGAACCACCCCAGGCCAAAAAGCACGAGTCCCGTACTGGGACTCGTAAAGTGACGTCGCTATCTGCCGAACAGCTGGAGAGGAAGCGCGCCAACGATCGGGAAGCCCAAAGAACCATTCGTCAGATGACAAAGGAGCTCATTGAACGGCTGGAGCACCAAGTGGCCGAGTTGAAAGTCAAGGGGGAACACCGACGGAATGTGGCGTTGGAACAAGAGATTCGAGCGTTGAAGCATCAGCTCGCCCAGGATAGTAGACAGGAATATCCGGGTATGAGTGTTAAAGGTGCATCAAACCCAAATCCACAAGCAGCAGCTATCACGCGGGTATTATGCTGTATTGAATTCAAGTGTGAGGATCAGGAGCAAACGAGCTCATCGTCGCCCTTGGGACAATGCTGGCACCACTTGTTCCGAAACCCCACAGTGGTGATGGGCTTCCCAGTACCATACCGTTCCAGACAAAATACTGGCCTTGAAATCCCGCTCAACATTTTGGCGGGTCTAGCCCAAGCAACGCAGGTGGATGCCTTTAGTGATAAGCTATTCATCAAAGGATTTTCTAGCTTATTGATCCCGACGGAGTACATCCGAGATCAAGATCAGATGATGTGGCACCTGCGTTATAATGTGCATGGAGATCGCATTTCGTATCTGGATGGAATTGGGGCTCATGTCGGACACATCACACTAGTCGATATGGAGTCGAGCCGACATATCCTTGGTTGGTGTTCAGACGCGAAATTCTATGCCGGTATGTCATCGCATGGTTCTAGTGGTGAAAAGGGGGTTTTAAAAGCTGACTTGCCATAAGGAGCGGCAGATGCTAGTTATTCGATCAATCGGTCTTGGTTGGGGTCACCGTCCTCTCGCTGCAGCTTGAGCAACACATCGATCACGGCAGGCAGGCTAATCACAGGCGGTGACCCGGCAATGTATGGCAACAAAGACATACCATATCGACTAACTCGGGATGAGTACATTGAAAAGCTCTCGTGGATTGCCAGACAATACGTGGTAATGTGGGATGTGGGAGCCAAACGGGGGTGGTTGGTGAATGGGGCCTGCGCTCTATTGCACCTTCTTTTTGCTTCCCTACATTTCAACAAAACTGATCCACTCGGCTTTGCATTCCAGTTGGATCCTACCGACATCAAATTCCCAGAGAACACATTCGCCCCCAGATCTGCAATGGAGGTTTTGTTGAACCCAGATAACCTATGCCTGAAACTGTACAACGCGAAACAGAGCGAACCAAACGAGACAACGTTACCCCCAGTACGGATTCAACATAGAGTCGATCGTTTGTATAACATGCTCGAGAAGATCATGGACCATCAAGCAGAGATTATGGGGACAGACGGCGGAGCATCACGCAATATGGCTCGGGGAAACCTGGAAGGATGGGATTTCAAGGATTTGGCGACCCAGGAAGACCCATTGTGTCCTCGACTTTGTAAGTTGAGTATCAGAGGGAAGTGTTGGGTTGATTTTACCAGAGATATTCGAGCGTCAGTGCTTTTTGGGACGGGGTTTGGTGAGATTCTTCGCCCGGTTGATAACGAACAACTATGCCCATATTGGAGCAGATTACCAGAAGGTGAATCTTACCTTGCAGTCAGTGGGTATGATCTTGCGAATATTATCGACCGGTTCGGAAATCCACATAGTAAACCGATCCGACTGACCCGCAATTTGGTTTGGTGCAATTGCCTAGACAATGGTCGCCCAGCTTGCAGATGCATTGGACTCCCGGAGCAGACAGAACATTCCGAACTGGCACAAGTAATCCTGCCTTCACACTTCAGAAGGAGTATACCGAAGCACAATTCCGTCCGACCAAGCGGTTGGAGCCATGGCGCGATAGTATTTGGCTACAACAGAGACTTGCGATGGACCTGGAACGACACCGGTTACCCTGAACAGAAAGAGGTTCTGTCATGCTCAGATGATTCGGGGTCCGATTCAGACGGTGACTTTCACGACTCAGGACTTGGAACAAGCTTGGCTCCTGTCACTGCCCATGGTTCCAGGAGACTGTCATTGTCAAGGTCCCCGCCTGAAGGTATTACTCACGAGGATTACGAGGTAGGCATTGTGTGTGCGCTGTCGAAAGAACTTCTTGCCGTCCGCGCTTTGTTCGATTCAACCCATCCTGACCTCGAAAAAGACCGAAATGACCCTAATTGCTATTGTCTCGGACGGATGAAAGGGTTCAATGTGGTTGCTGCTGGTCTTCCATACGATGATTATGGCACGAATTCCGCCACGAATGTTGCTTCTCATTTGATCCGAACTTTCCCGCGAGTGAAGTTCTGCCTGGTCGTTGGAATCGGAGGAGGAGTACCTTCCACAAATCGGGACATACGGCTTGGTGATGTCGTCGTCGGTACCGGGGTGCTACAAGGTGATATGGGGAAATGGATCCAGAACTCCGAGTTTAAGATGACGGCGCAGAAACAACAACCACCACCCTATTTACGAGCAGTCATTACGAAAATCCAGTCCAATGGCTTCATTTCCTTCGAGTCCGCTTTGAACCCGCTCCTTGACGATCTTGATCTGATTGCCTCAATGCAACCGAAATACTTATACCCAGGCGCAGACAAAGACATGCTATTCGACGCAGGTGACGTGCACGTTGAGACGGAACCAAATTGTGACAAGTGCATCGGCAGCCGACGTCCAAGGACTCGACAGCATGACGGCCCAAGCGTTTTCTACGGTCTTATCGCATCTGGTAATCAGCTCGTTCGAGATGCAAGATACCGAGACCGCTTGGGCCAGGAAAATGTGATCTGTGTTGAGATGGAGGCGGCAGGAGTCATGAGAACTACTACCGACTGCCTTGTCATTCGGGGCATATGCGATTATGCCGACTCACATAAGAACGATCAGTGGCAGGAGTATGCCGCTGCCTCAGCGGCTGCTTACGCCAAATTTTTCCTGTCTCATATGCGCGAAAGCGCTCATGAGTTCGCCGTCCGAGTTCCATCACGGTTAGAAGCTCCGACGGGGTCAGTACACTTGCAGAAGGAGAAGCGGGCTGCATCATGTGCTGTCTATGACCAGCATGTGGAGCTCAAGAGATCTCGACGATACTGAATTCTATTTCAGTGCTGATTGACGTCGATCTAGACGAGCTCGAGATGTCGCCATGATCCAAGGAACAATCAGAGGTGATAATGCCAGAATACTACGGTTCTACGTGTTTTAAATGGCAGCAAGACGAACATTTGGGGTTTTCAATAGAGACTCCTATCATTAAGGGGGAATTTTCTTCGAGCCTCCGTTTCAACTCGTTGCTGGTCATGCAACCTTTCAAAGTCTATCTGATGCCTCTTAGCTGGAGGTGTCTTTGAGTAGGTTAGCGCAATAGGATTACATCTCACCAGGTTATTGAAAGTAATCTTCCACAAAGGGTTTCTGATACAATGCTTCATGAACCCTTAACAACTTCCACTGACAATGCAATACGAGCGATTGCCCCAGAATTCCCAGATGCAATGACTAACAATAATCGGGTGTCTCTCATTGGCTGCACTGTGTATCAATCTGGTATCCGTACGGCTACCCCACGGCTCCGGCAGTTCGGCACCCACGCCTTACCCGATCGGGGCTGAAGCCAGACCGGGGCTGCAGGTAGCCGCTTATGTTTGTGATGCACTCCCCTCACATCACCGTTCTTCTTCTTCTTCTTCTAAGAAAAGTCGAGTGCCGGCCACATCATGTCCAGCTAGTTATTGACCGCTTAATTCTTCCTTTCTAATGCCCAAAGCCTCAAGGATACCATTATGGTGTTGCGAAAGTGCACCATATGCGATCGACGGTTCAAGAAAACGGAACATTTCAAGCGCCATGAACGCTCACGTAAGTTTACCGACCTGCATATGGTTGCATCCTGCTGACGACTAGTAGATACCAAGGAGAAGCCCTATGAATGTAGTGTCTGTCATAAGCGGTTTTCAAGAAGGTATTGAAGCTGTGGACTATCTTCACTCCTGCACGTGCTAACACTGTCGCAGCGATGTCCTAAGCCGCCATGCCAGGGGTCATAATCAACCAGCTGCCAATGCAGCGGTTGGACCAGGTGCTGGTATTCCTGCCGCACCTACCAATCAAGCTCCTGCTCATCTACCATCAACTATGACAGCGGGTATTCAGAACTACGTCCTTGGTATGGGTGCGGAGAGTGCTCGCCCGCTCCAGCATGGTTCGTCGGCACCTCACAATTTTACAATGTCCGCGGCTCTCGATCAGCAGTCGACTTCCTTGGACTTTCTTGCCAACGTATCTGCTCATCAACCTCGCACTGAACCAGTAGCTAATCAGATCATGGCAAATGAGCATCAAGGTTACCTTGGCTGGAATGACGTGCCTGTTCCGGACCAGCAATGCTACAGAGGGACAGTTCTTGATCCATTGCATAACGACATACTGCAATTCTGGCTGGAGCCGCAAGGGGACTCGATCTCACAGCAAGGATCTATCGACCTCAGGGGGAATTCTAATCTCGGCATTTTAGGGGAGACCGTTGCTTCTTCAGAGCAACCACGACCATCTATTGATAGCATGAGCTTGAGCTCTGGAAGTAGTATTCCAACTGAACGGTTTGCCCGTGTTCAGCGCTATTGGCTTGCTCCATCCAACAACACTGGGCGGCTCATGAACAGCTTATGGCATGATGTAGCCTACAGCGAACAGGACAATGTGTTCGCTTTCAGGCCAACCCACTCTTCCAGCGCCCCGTCGGGTTACCTGCAGGGGTCGAGGTACGGCGTCGATGAAGAGTGCAGGCAGCGTCTTTACACAATGTTCAACCAGAGCCAAGGTCAATCTCAGATGCGTTCTTCTGAGGTTACTGCAGTCTCGCCCTTTACCCAACCACATCGCAATTCCAATTTTCCTCCTGCGGAAGTTCTGGATATGGCACTAGATCTGTTCTTCCGCGACTTTCACCCACTGGTGCCGTTTATCCACATCCCAACATTCTCTGCAAAAGACGCCCGTCCATCCTTGATCTATGCCATGTGTCTCATTGGCATGGTCTTGTTGGGAACCAAAGGCACGTTAAGCTTCGTTGTCAACAACTTCTCGGTATGATCAGGTCTTATGCGCAGTGTGCGTTGCTAATATGCTCTAGTCCATGCTTGGAAGTATTACAGCAGAATTAGCCAAGTGTTCAGTTGGAGTCGAGGGTTCTTTGTCCACCGTGTCCACTTTTGCAGCTGCATTTCTGTTTCTGAATTTGGCTGCCATGACAGGAGTAAGTTTTAATTGAGAAAGAACTTGAGTTATGCTAATTTCTGTAGGAAAAGGAACATCTTGAAAAGTGCCAAATGCTCTATGTTAATCTCATATCGGTATGCCATTCAATCAGAACCATAGAATACGGCTGACACACTTATAGATCGCACAGCGGCACGGACTCTTCGCAGCTAGGGAAGGGCAGGTGCTTGACACGCACCTGTTCGAAGCCGTCCCTAATACTGAGACTCGGTGGAAAGCCTGGAGCAAGGTAGAATCAGTAAAACGGTGAGTTGAACAATCATTCAGAAAAGCATTTGCTGACATCACAGGCTTATAACTGGACTACTGCTGCTCGACTCTTGGTACTCATCGTTCATGTCTTCGAGTCCGATTATCGTGCCAGACTCTGTTCAGCTGATACTGCCGTGTGATGAAGCGCTCTTTCGAGCTACATCTTCCACGCGCTGGATGCAGCTAAGCGGTAGCGACAAAGTCAGCTTGATGCCTACGATACTAATGCCATCGGAGAATGTCGACATTCCCACACTTCGCAGCCCGATAGATGATTTCTGCATGTATGCAGTTCTAGCAATGGTTCAGTCGAGGCTTTCAGAAGCATACTATCGACTTCTTTCGAATCGTGCCAGCTATCCCTTCGCCCCGTGCAACACATATGCCATGGACGGCCGTGCAAGATGCCTGCCATCTCTTCAGCTCCAGCTGACAAGCAAATATGGCGACTTGCTAGACCGGCTGAACCCCAACGCGGCCGTCATGTGGCACAATATGTGCATGACGCTGACAGCAGACACCCAAATCTTCGACATGGCAGCTGGCCGTTCAGGCCCGGGCCCTGCCCGAAAAGCGCTCGATGATATCGCGGCATGGTCACAAACACCGGCTGCCAGACGAGCTTGCTTGCATGCAGCACACATCTACCGAGCCATGACGAATAGGAAGGCATCAGACCATACAATGTTTCATTCTGTATTCTCCCTCTTCTACGCGGCGCTGGTGCTGGGTCTTTACGTCTTCATGGTGCCAAATACCTCTGAGATGCAGCAGGGTGGAGATTCCATCGAGCTTTTTGATGATATTGATTGGCAGAAGGTGGGCACTGAGGGGTTCACCAGCTATATGGAGCCTCGAGAAGGCCATCCTTTTCCGCCGTCTGAAGAACCAGCGTTGAATTTTGTTCGAAACGGCGGCACGATATACCTACGCGGTGTTCCCATCCAGGGAGGCTATCAAGCAGCGCGCCGCATTCTACTCGACTACGCAGGACTGCTAAAGGATACAGGGAAATGGAGCGTACGAAAGTTTTCGTATGTGCTGCATATCATGAGCGATGTGCTAATGGATGTGGAATGACCACTACACCAGAACTGAAGCCATCAACTGCGTTACGATCTCATTTATGAATACGACAGCATGTATACCAATCTATGTACAAAATAATAACCCATAAATGGGGTTTTGAATTATACCCACGACCGATTCCTGACCCTCTCATTCAACATCTCCAATTCCTCCTTCGACGCAACCACCCCCATGATTCCTTTCCCAGCACCGGCATCACCCTGCCCACCATCACCATAATCCTTCCTCTCCCCCGCCAACACAACCCTCAACCCATCATCCCCATTCCCATCCCCAGCTTCATTATTCAAATTCCTCCCCCTCGCAAACCACAACCCCTCCCCATCTTCCTTCTCACTCTTCACCTTCACAACACCCCCATCCTCAACCTCTTCCACAACTGCCCTCTCCCCAGCACTACTGCCCCCCTCAGACGCCGTCTCCTCCTCACTCTCCCCCGTATACTTCGCCACACTGATCCCATTACACCTGGCATTCGGCATATGCAACACGTCATGCAGTACAAGGGTATTCGTGCGTGGGTCGTCCGGTGCCCGTTGCACCCGGAGCTGCACTGTTCCTACGCCTAGTACCCGCTGGTTCGCGATCTTGCATGGTGCTCGTCGGTAGCTGCTGAATGAAGAGCGGTTCTTGGCGATGTGTGTGTTGCTTTGTCGGGGGAGGAGGAGCCAGGTGAAGCAGCGGTTGCTGTTACTGCTTTTGGATGAGGATGAAGAGGCGGGGGTGGGGTGTTGGCGTCGGCGTCGGTTTGGACGTGAACGTTGTTTCTTGGTTTGGGCGTGGTTGGGGATGGTGTAGGGGTGGTAGGGGTTGTAGGAGGTGTGTGGGTGGTGATGTGGTTGGTGTAGATGGGTGGTCATTTTGGATGGAGTAGATAGTATATAGTAGGTAGATAGCAGTAGATGTAGTACTTGATAGAAAATGAAGTATAAGTAAAGAGAGAAGTATAAAATATAAACCAAAGAAAGTAGTCAGTCCAGTATTTCACGTAGTAAAGCAAAGCATGATAATATAGATCGAACTACAAAATAACCCAAGGAAGAATATCATATCATATAAGTACTGTACTCAGAGTATCGAACACGCGTAACCGTCGATCCAAGTCCGGGTCTGGACTTTTGACCTTGAGTTGGATGGGGGATCTGCTGGCAAAAGGCGTGGCAAACTGGAACCCAACCCGCCCTTCCGTATCGGGTAATTCCTCGCTGATTGTTCCTTCTAGATTTCCTTCATATGCCCATCATTCTACTATATTTGACTAAATTAGAAACATATTGTGATCCGTCAGTCCAGGTACACTCTTCTCCCTGGAAACAAAAATATTTCTTTCTTAACAAAACAGTGGAAAAGATGCTATGTCTGAAGGGTATGTATCTATCTGCCACAAGTCTTGACGTAGCCGATGGCGAAGCTTAATCAGATGTGGAGTCCTACGCGTTGCCCTTGATGGAGTTCCAACCATGCTAAGCCTGCGGAACAAGACTTTCATCGACCTTGGTTATGTGAGGTCTTTTGTTCGATGATGGACTGCCAAGTTCGCCTTGTAGGCTTGTCTAGACTGTTGTGTGGTATTCTTTGTCTGCGTGTTTCACCCATGCTCCACTCCGATATACAAACTATGTATATTCTCCGTAGTGGTATGTACGCAACCCAAGTCTGCCTCTACTATATACATCAAAGTAGTAGTAACTGTCTAAGCATACAAAATATCCCTTACCCTCTCTCCAATAGCCAAAGAACTCGTCAACCCAGGACTCTCAATGCCCAACAAATTCACAAATCCAGGAAACCCTTCCTCCTCCTGAATCACAAAGTCCTGAAACCCTTTCCCCGTATTCACCGCCCCTCCCTTCCCCAACTTAGGCCGGATCCCACAATAATCCAAAGCGATCGCCTCAACATCCACATTAGGCAAATACGCCCTAATCTCCGGCAACGCCTGCTGCAACCTCGCCGGACTCGGCCTCAAATCACTCGGATCCTCCACCCACTCGACATCCGGCCCAAACCGGATCCTGCCGCCCATATCAAGGGTCAAATGGGTCCCCAGCCCGCCCGTCCCCGGCAACGTAGTCGGATACACCAGCACCGAGGTCTTCGGCGTGGAAGCCGAGTAAGAGAAATACGTCCCCTTGGCGAAATAAGCTTTTCGATGCCGCTCAGCCGGCATCACCATGTTATTGATCGCACATGCCCCATTGCCTGCACTGTTAATCACCGTCTCCGCCGTGATGGTCGTCTCGCTCCCGTCCGCTGACACAGCGCTTATCCGGTATCCGCCGCCCTCACTAGCAGGGAGGGGTTCAATGCCCGTCACTTGCGTCATGAACGCGCAGTCTCCGCCGCGGTCTTCGAAATCCCCTTGTAGATAGGTCATTAGGGAATGACTGTCGATGATGCCGGTTGTCGGGCTCTCCACGATGCCAGCCAGGGCCCGCACTTCCGGTTCGCGCCGCTGTGCTTCTTCCTGGCCGAGGATGCGCGTGGGGACGCCGATGCGTTTGGCGTGCTCGTGCACGCGCAGACATGCTTCCCATTGTTCTGGGGTTTGGGCGACAATCCATTTCTTGGTGTTGCGGTGCGGGATGTTGTGTTGGGCGCAGAGTGCGTACAGGAGCTCTTTGCCCTTGATGCAGAGGGAGGTTTTGAGGGTGTCGGCGCCGTAGTAGAGGCCTGCGTGGATGACCTATTTCCGAAGGAATTGCTTAGCATTATAATGTCTTTTGAGAAAAGAATTGTATAGGCGTAATTGGGATCTGGAATGCTACCTCTGAATTGCGACTACTCGTCTCCGTACCCGGAGCGTCATGTCTCTCGAGTAGAATCGTCGATGTGCCCTCTTTCATGGCTAGTTGGCGCGCAACTGCCAGTCCGACGACGCCTGCGCCTATAACCTTGACAGTGATGTGTTAGATTGCTGTTTGTGTTTGTTGCAAGAACGTAGATAGATGGTGTTGGTAGGGATTGGTTACCGCATGTGTGACGTCGGCCCTGGAGGCGGCGGTGCTGGAGAAGGCACACCGCGATAGAAGGCGGCCGTTGGGAATGGAACGGAGAATACGAGTGGCCATTGGGGTTGTGTGACTCCGTGGGATCATTTAGACAATGCCTGCATTGTACGGGGGTGGGTTGTCGGGGTGAGGAGAAGCATTTGAGTGGTGGTTGTTCCCCACGACGGGCGGAGTCGGCGTCGGTGCCGATGCCGATAAGCTCTGTTATTATCGTTATCTTCGGGGATGTTCCTGGCCCGATACTTGGTTGGTGAAGATTGGAACATGGATTTCGTATGCTGAATCAGGGGTATCTGATTTAAATACTTTATGTTCTAATTATATGGGGCGGTCGCTTCTATGGATCATATTATCGTACAGTAGACTATTTGGGCGTGCCATCTAAGGCTATAATATATACAGTGGCAGCATCAGACCAACCCAGCGGGTCTACCGAGGAATATCTATCGATTAGCCACGCTTGCCTACGTTCTTGAGCATATCTTCCAAGTGCTGTTTCTGTTCGGTGGCTAATTTGCCATGGGTATCCTGCATCGGTCAGCACCAGCATTCGCAGCGGAATAATCGACTTACACTAATAATAGCCAGAACAAGTGAGTAATTATTGTAAAGAAACCTCTCCCTCCGTTTGGCGTCGCCGCCAATCCGGCTAAGCTTTGCTAGTAGATTGTCAAACTCTGTGGTCAATCGGCCCAGACTATTGGCCACTGGCTCGTCATCCCCGGCTTCACTGCTCAGCACCAAAATGCCGTGCAGGAGTTGTCCAAAACGCTGAGTGAGAAAATGAGGTGCGGATGACTTGTTGAGGTCGTCTCCTCCCGCAAGAGACAATGCGGAGACCGCACTACGGCCGGTGTTCGCTGCTACCCGTTTTAGGGACTCGCACTGCGTGTCCATAATGACTTGGAACCGAGGCCACAATTGCATGTTGGTTCCGTTGACATAGGAGTCGGCCACCGGTACCTTGCGCCGCTGCAATTCGAAAGCGGCTTGCTGGTTCAATCGCACGCAGATCAGAACTCCGAGCGCATCCGTAGTCTGCTCAATCAGGTGCTTGGTCAGGGCCTGCCCAAGGGTGAAGACTGGTTCGAAGATCTCAACGGCCTTGCGAGATATCTGTTGGAAGCCCAATGTGGAGAACATCTCGGTCATGAACGAGTATTCGGCGGAAACATTATCTAGGAGAGCAAGGTTGAAGTTTCGGAAAGGGACTTCAAGCCCGTGGAAAGCATTGTCCTCCTCTGCCAAGTAGGAAGATATTGCCATTTGATTACCTGCCCTAAGTATGTCGACTCTCCTGCCGAGAGAGAAGGGGTCGTGCGCCGCAGAACCAGCTCGGCCGCCGGGAACAATATTACCTGTGCCAGTCAGTATCAGTCAGACCATGCACTGAGCAGCAAGCCCAAACACACCTGTTTTATGTGAGGATGGATCCCCTCCTAATACCTCATTCCGATCGCTCAGATAGACCTTGATCTTTTCGAGTGCTTGGTGATATCTTGTGAAATGGGACAGGTAATACCATCGCATCGTATTGATGTAGGCCTGGGTGATTTCTCCCGTGAGGGTCGGGTGGGCTCGTGATATGTAGCCGTATAAGTCCTTAAACTTGACCAGTCGCTGCTGCTGGATGATCTGTGCATTGATGTTCGGAGATCGCAGGGCTCGAATTTGAGATACCAGGTAGTCCCGGATCCGCTCCACTGCCTGCATATCTGTCAGTCAATCTGTAAAGTAAATTTATATCGGAAGCAGTACCTTCTTCTTGATATCACCCAGCAGAGGCCGCACATCTTCGATAGATTTGCTACTATTGGTGCCTGAGGCCTTGGCTTCGATGCTAGCCGTCCGGGTCTCGATCTCGTTCAGGGCCTTGACCCAGTTCTCATCAATAGGTCCCTCCGCCACTAATCGGACGGTCTTCGGAGACAAGCTGATTTCCTCCACAGCAGGTCCAAGCAGCTGTTCAACATTCCGTCGATTCTCTAGCATCGCATTCAGCTGTATTGAACGAGATTGCAAACTCTCTATTTCTGCTGATACAGCTCCCAATTCATTCTGAAAGTCATTCAAGTACATTTCAACTGACTTGGAGACATCATCGCAGCCAGTGATTGCCGAGTGCAGGTCCTGGAATTTGTCCCTTTCCTTCTCGAACTGCTGGATGGTCTGGGCGCCGACATCACTTTGCCATGCTCTTCTAGGTTGTTCTTCTTCCGCGATAAAGTCTTCCAGGCTGAGTCCATGGAAATCAATGTCCTCCACAAGCTCCGAGGGTTTCACTTCCGCGACGGACGCTGGAGAGCTGTCTCTTGTTTTGCCTTGTTTTCCAATGATCCCATTCAAAACCTCGAGCGGATCAGCAACTTCGGATGGGCGTGATCTTGTAGCACTTGGCTTTGGCGAGGAACCTTCACGCGCAGTCGCGGAGAGGGATGTAGACGAGTCGTTCGGAGTCGACAGGAGAGACAACGCCGAACCTTGGCGACTGGAAGCGGGGCGATTGTTCTGAGTCGGAGCCAAGCGAGATGAGGTCCTTCGAGGCAAGGGAGAGCTGCTGCGACTATCGAGTTGGGGACCGGAAGGCGTCGCATGACCCGAAATGCGGTCTAGCCACATCTTGGGAGGCCGACACGGAGAAGCGTGCGGATAGCGGAGAGCTCCCCGAGTTCATCAGGGGTGAGGTGGAGAGGTGAGGGAAGTTCTCCCAGAACACAGGTGGGTACTGGGAGATATTATACGGCAGCGTACATTCGGTGAGACGGAGGCAAAGACCGAGACCAGGCTGATACTTATCGACGGGAATATAAAGAGTAGATAGCTACTAAGTATTACCATAGTGGTTAGGAGTATACGTGGAATAGCAGGCCGAGATGCTACGGTAAACTGCAGCAACCGCGGACGTGGTTTGTCCGAGACTAGACCGGACTGGGACTAGCGACCACAAAACCCCGCCACAACCAGTGCCTTTTTTTCGCAGTCCATTTGTCGATTTCTTTTCGCCTGTGTCCCCCTCTGCGTCCTTCCTTCGCTTTTTTCTCTTCCTTTTCCTCTAATCCCTCCTCAATTCCAACATCCTCCTCACCTCTCCCTTTCACTTTTTACCTCATACCCCCTAAAATCCATCACCATGGCTGACGAGGTAGGTGCTAACTCTCCTTCTGCGAACTTCCCGGTCTACTCAGTTGCGGCCTATCTTCGTCCTGCTTGCTCGGTTGGGTTGGGTGTCTTCGGGGCCTCGCATCTCGATCGCTGCCCCCCACCCAACCCCCCTCGTTCCTGCAGACATTGCATATTTCGCTACACTCTTGGACCATCCTCTATCGTCTTGATCATGGGCTAGTTCGCTAATCTTCACACTCAATAGCACGAGACCTTCGAGTCCGCCGATGCCGGCGCCTCGGCCACCTACCCCATGCAGTGCTCTGCCCTGCGCAAGAACGGTCACGTTGTCATCAAGGGCCGCCCCTGCAAGATCGTTGAGATGTCCACCTCCAAGACTGGCAAGCACGGTCACGCCAAGGTCCACATCGTTGCCATCGATATCTTCACCCAGAAGAAGCTCGAGGATCTGTCCCCCTCCACCCACAACATGGATGTCCCCAACGTCTACCGCAAGGAATACCAGCTCGTGAGTAGTTTGGAACATGTACGGTCTTGATGAACTTGACACGCTAACACGGCTATAGCTTGACGTTACTGACGACGACTTCCTTTCCCTGATGGACGAGGCCGGTAACACCAAGGACGACGTCAAGGTTCCCGAGGGTGAGGTTGGCGACCGTATCCGCCGCATGTTCCACGACGAGGAGAAGGACTGCAGTGAGTAACACCCGTTCATTCTGAATTAGTGGCTGTTGGCATGATTACTGACGAATTTCCTTTCCAGACGTCACCATCCTGTCCTCCATGGGCGAGCAGGTCTGCATGGATGTCAAGGAGGCTCCCAAGGGCAACTAAATTATTGTGTCTATGGACCGTTAACTGCTCTGTCATCCATGGTGTATTTGAAGAGCCTCGCTCGGCTTTGCCCTTGGTCAGGTGGATGATACGGCCTTTTGGGCAGCTGCGGCGCCACGTACTCTTATATCCGTCTGTTTAGCCTTGGGTATACGCTGAGCTGGCCATGATGGTCACGTTAATTTGGCAGCATAAATCCTGCCTTGTCAGAGAAACAGTTCTTGAGTTCAGCACTTTCACGATAGTTTGACGAATAAAAAATTAACTACCTTTCTCCCAACCTATCATGTCCAAATGTCATTCGTAGAGAAAAAAGCAGCGTACCAGTGTAGATCCGATATTCTGAGACACGCGTGCATGAAACCTACGGAAACAATGAAGAAGCAACCTTATCGCAAGGATTAAAGGCTACGCAGTGGGCGATAAGGCGCATGCGGATATTACTTTTTCGGGGTCCTGCATCAACGGTAGAAAAATCTGACTGGTAACAATCTCTGGTAGCTGCGCTGACCCGCTCCGGAAGACCCAGGCCTTCTGTTCCTCCACAACCTTCGGACAAGGAAGAATGAAGAGCGCTGCCCTGGATGGAGTACATCACCCGAGGGGTTTGCGGGCAGGAAGGGTGCCGTGAACGACGGTATTATCTGGATAATGGCCTCTGGTTCTGCAGGCGGGGTCATCAACAAGAGGTCTGATCTTCCCCCCCTCTCTCCCGCCCCTCACTCATTCTACGCACGCGACCGATCAGCCCACTCATTTACCATTTGTCGCGTAGGGACGTCAAGTCGAAGAGGATCCCGAAGACTTTAACACGCAAGGCCGGACAAGTCGCGTAAAGAAGGCTGCAGCGGAGAAGTCTCAAAAGAGTAAGAGAGCCTCCAACCTACCGTAACTACAACCACCACCATCATACTACCATCATGGTTTGGAGGTGACGCGCTCTCCACATCGGCTAATATCAGGCAGCATACCGGGGACGCCAGGCCTATAGTCTATTTCTGCAAGTCTACCAATTGATCCTGTGGAAGCAATGTCACGCGCTGGTCCATCACCGCGGCTTTCCGTCCGAGTTGGAGGTATGCATGACATAGCCCCCTTGGGGAAACCACTAATGAACGGCTCACTGATGCACGCATAGTCTGTTGTTCGCGATCTTTGGGCGCTCCGATTGGAGACGTACGCCGAAAAGATTAATGATCCTTCAGAGCAGGATGAGGAGCCTGAGTTCTTCAGCTCGCAGGTAACCTCAGGGCTGGATGGATCCGACGACACCAGGTTCAGAGGAAGGCAGGCTACATGGCCTCGCCTTATTGACAGCATTGCTTTGTGCTATCTAGGCGCCCTTTTAATGAGGCTTCCAGTGGGTGTTGGGGATTTCTATGGGTGAGTAGTCAAGTATAAACCACTTTGGATCTTGCAAGGGCTAAGTGAATGTTTAGAATGGTAATGCGTGGTGATGTTCCTTTCATCAGGATTGTTAAGATTATCCCTCGAGATATGAGGGATAAACTGCCACAAGAGTTCATTTCGATACTTGAGACCACGGTGAGTGCCTATGATGAGTCAGGAAGAAATGGTCGTGTCTGACAACATGATAGAGGCTACTCCAAGCCGAGCACCTTCATGGCGCTGTCTCAGACCTTCTGCTGCTTTATCATAACAAATTCAACATGCAATTTCCATCTTTGAACTGGCCAGTCTTGTTATATAAATATGTCAAGAGACTTGCGCTTCCTCGTATGCGACGCCCCCTTCTTCAATCATTCCTATTCGTTAACCTACTTGCAGTGGATATTCACCCGGCTGCAAAGAAGTTGCAGCATCTTCTAGGGTTCGACTTTGAATACCCTACAAGCATATCTGGAAGGAGAAGGCCACTCCAACTGCCCGAGCTGCAACTAGTCGCTCTGGTTGTCATCACCACCAAGCTTCTGTTCCCGTTTGACGATGTTGAAAGATATCCCGCGACGGTTGAAGAGCCCACAGTGCAAGTAATCGACTGGAATCTTTGGTCTCAGATACAGAGGCATTATGACAATCGAGAGACGCCTGCGGGTCAGCTTGGCAAGGGAAAGGAGATATTGGTGACTGAGAGAGACGTCTTCAGCATGACGCCATCCGAGCTCGACGACTATATGAATTGGTACGAGAATAGCTGGCTTGATCCAAGTAAAGGTATGAGTTATGCCACATTTTCCCCTCCTCAGTGCTAATCAATGTTCCAGTATCAAATCCCCTCGCAGATCTCTTTCCGACAGGTCCAAGTGCTGGAGAAAGCCAGACCACAGCTCTTACTCCAGACGTAACAGATGAGGAAGCTCTTGATGAATTGATCAAGGCGTCCACCAGCCAATTGAGATCAAGACAGGTCATTGCAGATAATGACCTGGAAACTCCACGGCCGGGATGCTCCTACACGCGGTATCGAACCGAATCTGACCTTCCGGATACTGCGAGGTCCTTCTACGAGACAGCTGCCAAGGTAGCCGGTGTTTCCCTATCTACATTGATTAGGGCTGTATCACAGGCAGAAAATAAAATCAACCGGTGGCTTGAAGAAAAGCGGCGGGTTGAGTACTTTGGATCGATGGGCATGGAATTCACTCGGGACTCTAGTGCGGATCCAGACAATGACGAAGAGGGCATGTCTGAGCTGGAGGATGGTGATCTAAGTTGAGCTTGGCGATCATATATACTAGGGACATGAGCCAATTGGGTCCCGTCTTTGAAGTAGTATAAAAGTATCAAAAATAGAAACATCCTATACTGTTAGTCCTCAAGGTTATAATTTCCCTGCAAATCAAAATTACTTGAGGGAAGGCTGATTTGCATCATTGAACACTGATGTCGGGTCGAGCATCATAAAAGCATAACCATAACGCGGACCGCGGACCACGGGCCACGGACAGCCTCCAACGTATGGATGATGCTAAATGGATGATGTAAAAGTAGTAAGTAGTCTACGGACTAATTATGGAGACTGCGGAGAGGCCCCGAACGCGGCCGGACTGCCCTAAACCCTGATCACGTGCGGTCCGTTCCACCTTTGCTAAGCGAGAAATCGTGAAATTGACATCGCCTCATCCGACCGACCTTGTCAGCCGATCGTCAGCCAGCAACAACGAAAACCGCAGCCAGTACGTATACCCTTTTCGTTCGTGAATGCGAAATGCGTGTTCTCTGGAAGTCGCAAGCTAACATGTCGTTTTTTCCGCGTCTCTGCAGTGCAGATGTAGGTCATTCCAAGATTCCCTGGCAACCACCCGTCGAATCCCAGCCCGAAATCCGAAAGATGGCACGAATATATCATCGAGAAATGAAACAAGGAAACTGACCCAGGCTTCTTTCCGATCAATAGTTTCGTCAAGACCCTCACGGGTAAGACCATTACCCTCGACGTCGAGTCGAGCGACACCATCGACAACGTCAAGACCAAGATCCAGGACAAGGAGGGTATCCCCCCGGATCAGCAGCGTCTTATCTTCGCTGGTAAGCAGCTTGAGGATGGCCGCACCCTGAGCGACTACAACATCCAGAAGGTATGAAATGAATCGGTTCCGCGAAATATCTTATACGTCGGTTTCGTCTGCTCGGATAGTCGGTTACGAACATGATGCGATTCGGGTCGGTGGGGGCGACACAACACGCAACTAGGTTTTGAGGAGGGGGAATAGTTTCATCGACACGGTCGCATTCATGGACGTTCCACGACTATCGGCATTCGACGCGACACCAATCATTCGGAATATAGTTTGACTGACGGGTTATCTTCTCGACTATAGGAGTCCACCCTTCACCTGGTCCTCCGTCTGCGTGGTGGTATCATCGAGCCCTCCCTTAAGGCTCTTGCCTCCAAGTACAACTGCGAGAAGTCCATCTGCCGCAAGTGCTACGTACGTCCATCCATCCATCCATATTACTTCTTACCCCTCGACTCGATCCCGCCCCTCTTTTGAGTCCCGGCTAGCGGAAAATCCCCCCACTGACATTGATAACCCGATTAGGCCCGCCTTCCCCCCCGTGCCACCAACTGCCGCAAGAAGAAGTGTGGTCACACCAACCAGCTCCGCCCCAAGAAGAAGCTCAAATAGACGATTATCTTATTACGGTTTTTCTGCGTTGCTGGGGAAAAGTGCTGCTGGGGTTACGATACGATTGCAACGTGGGAGATTTTCTACATGGCGTTGGAATGATGAATCATTACTTATAGCCGAAGTCAAATGTCTATAGTTGACTCCTCGGGAAGAAGTTGCAATCAAAGCACAACCTGTAAAATTCAAAAAACCTCTCGTCGCATTCTTAGTAGATACACATGCACACATGCAGCACGGCTTGGCGGGAAGGAAAACGTTCAACAGACAAAACGGCGGGAACGATATCAGAAATAACACTTGAGAACATAAACCAGCAAGTCGACACATGATATGACATGACATAATGCTGCCGGAGCAAATGTCATGGTCCCCCAGGGGAAAGACAGCAACTGATCAATATAACATCCGGAGGAAACCACACCGATACCAACACCGACATCTAGCACCTTTTTCTACCAACCACCAAACATCCGTCGCTTGTCGTCGTCGTGGTCATCATCGTCATCGTGGTCCTTGTTCTTCTTCGAAACGGGGCTTCCATGTCTGCACATAAGACCATATTAGTCACAATTCCTCACAGTAGAATAACACACCAGAGTAGGGGCCAGAAAACCACTTACGCAAAGAACAAGATCTTAATCGCCAACGCAAACCCAGCGTGCAGGACAATGACCAAAATCAGCAAGATCTTACTAGCCTTCGCATCCGTAGCACTAAGGACCGGGTACAGATTGCGCAGGAGGAAGAAGACCGTCCACCCGAAGCCAACACCCACCAGAGCCCAATTCAACGCCGTCAAAGGACTCCAGCTAACCAGTGCGACGGCAATCCAAACCAGGTTCGAGTATCCATAGAGCGCCCACGACTCAACCAAGTCAGCGCTGGAGCTGCCGAACCACTTCAGCGCACCCCACAGCGCAATGGGGATGATGCCCGTGTATCCGTAAACCAAGCCTGCGGCGCCGGATAGCAAGGTGAAATCGTATTCGAAGTGCTCGTCGTCATTGTTGGAGAGCCATTGCGAGATGGTACCGGTTAAGAAAAGGATGACGACGACGGTGGTTGCGATCCAGAAGGGGCCGTAGAGGTCCGGGTTTCCTTCTAGGACGTCGAGGAAGTTGCTGCGCGGATAGAGGGCTGCGACACAGCGACGGAGGACTTCGTTCGTGTCTACGTCGAAGAATTGCGAGTAGTAGTGGATTGACCACCAGTTGAGCTTGGAGGGGGTGCCGCCGGGGGATCGGTCACGGCCGCGCGATGAACCGCCGCCGAGGAAGGGGGCAGAGTCTTGTTGGGCTTTGGCGTTGCGTTGGTCGTTTTCAAAGTCTGAAAAGAACGGTGTGAGTATGTGTGCATTGGGATGAGGTGGTGGTTGTGCTCAAGGCCAGCTAGCTTACTGGAACGGTGGAATTCGAGGTCTTCTTGGAGGTCGGTATGGCCGAGATCGCCCTAGAAATTGATGTTAGTATACTGCGATCGGAGATGGGAACTATTGTTGGAGACTTACCTCGGCGTCAACGTCCACTACCACATCATAGCCCTGGTTCGCCATCTTGGGCAGCTCACGTTCGTTTTCAAGCGTAGTTGTTAAGCTCTCGGTTCCTGGGAGATGCGGGAATGCAAGAGTACACCTCAGCGGCTGCCGGGAAAGCCACGCACTAGCCACCATGTGGAGACTTTCCATCTATTCAACACGGGCTGACGCGGGCTGTGTTTCGCATTTTGTGCGTCCGCCTCTACTGTCTATTCTGTGTGCTAAGGCTGTTCTCTGTCTCGTAAAACTAATTTTCTCCTTATTAGTATGTTTTTTGCTTTGTCTTTAATATTTGTACATAAAAGCCCAAGCCTTATTATTGAACCGGTCCCTTTTTGTTTTTCCCAATGGTCACATAAGATTAAAGATAGCCTCGGGCCTGCAAAGCCCCATGGAACCTACTGACATACGCCCATATCGTATTGTCAAATCCCCTCTTCTTGATCCAGAATGACATAGCACCAATGAACATCGTCACAGCCACAGAGCCGATTGTTCGTCTGTGATTCCACAAGAAAGTAACGGTCTTCTCCTTCCGCTCCTCCCAACGTAGATGCCGTACTTGCTTCGCGAAGAGGTCGACTGTTTCATCGGGTCCTTGGATCCTAACGAGATCCCTTGAAGATTTCAGCACACTGCACTCTGGAATGCGCTTCCAGGCTCCGAATGGTAGGCTTTCCGGCGGGTGAGCTTCGAAAAGCTGCATCGCGCGGGATATCAAACCCTCAAGATCCAAGGGATTTGGAAGCTTGGATAGGGTAAAATGCAGCATATCGGTTTCATCGACTGAGAATTCAAGCAATTCTTTCTTGCGGGAGAGGATGATTGCCGCAAAGAGGTATATGGAGACTACTGGTTCCTGGGCCAGCAGGAAATCGAAAAGGCGTGCAATGTCGCTATATTCTTGGATGTCGTGAGAGTACATCGTCAAAGTTGCGGCGAGTGCAAAGAATGGTTTGATTTCGGCGAGGTGACATCGTAATGCAGGGTCTGCCTTCTCAATGATCGCAGGGATCAGCTCTAGATGTTTCAGCGCTGGCGAAAGGGACGGCAACATGTAATCTCTTATCCGAAGAAGAGATATTTGTGCAACAGCAGCAGCGCTATTTTGTCCACCGAGCACTAGTAGTAGGACTTGAACGATATCATGGTAGCCCTGGAAGTAGCAGAGCATGGGAAAGCACCGCAGGACTTGTTTGATCAGCCTGGAGAGCTCATCCTTTTTGATAGAGAGCTCCTGGTCAGAGCCTGGTCAAGTTAGACACCACCAATCGCCATAATAACTGAATGGATGACTTACAATCAGGGTAGTAGACGAATGACCTGTTCACATCAAGCTGAACTTGTTCTTCGTCGATATGTGCAGGTCGATGTTCCCATCCCGTGAAATCGAAATTGGGTCCTCGTCGATCACACTGTAGAAGAATAGGCCCTTGTCGGACGTCAGATAATGTATATATTTGGTATAAGGTAGCGCTCACAGGCTGTTCGCCGGACATCATCATTGAGGAAGCCACCTTCTGAGGTAGCGTATGAGACTAATGCATCAATATCCCGCAAGTCGCATGCTTGGCGAATGGCCGTTTCTTTTTCGGCTCTGAGATTTTCGAGCTCCGCATTCTTGAGTTTCTCTGACTCTAGGGCCTCGGCCTCGGCGGCGGTCTTCTGCTCTGTTTCCAGATTTGTCTCCGTGATGTGCTCTGGTTCGTTATTCTCAGATGGCTGATCCATCGTTGCGGCGGGCAGTATACTCCAAAGAAATTGTCTGTAAAAACCTGCGTATTCCCAATTATGGTCAAATGAAACAACTCGACGATATGATTTTTATTTGTATCCCGATGTATAGCGTTAACAATGAGTGGTCTATACTTGGATGCAACGGATGAACGGGCCACTCGCCAGATCAGAGCTTGCGTTTGGGGATCTCAAAATCCGGTTATGGAATCCAGTCCAGCTATGGCTTCTCCAGATTCACCGACAGGACCGCAATCCAGGCAACAAAATATCTATGGGATAGCATAGGCGATATGCAAAGCCGGAGGTGATTGCGGCCATGGCCAAACCCAAAACGGACGCGTGGCCGCCTCAGGCCACACATCAGGTCTGTGTCCCGTGATCTGTGATTTGCTTGGTTTGATCTGTATCGCCGACCGCCCGAACGAGCAGGCGAGGCTTTGATGATCGATCCACTGCCCCTCCAGACTTCCTACATGGCTGGCTGAGGTCTTCACGAGTCCCGGAGTCACTGTCGATTAATTCGCAGGAAACTTAAAACTGTTTCATTCGAAACTAATTCTGCTGGTTCACAAAGATAGCTGCAGACAATGCTGCAAACTCATAGTGGGCCGATGGCATCATACTAAAACCAAACATATTCAATTGAACCTTCCCGCGAACCGCTTGGGTTCCACTGCTGGCCATCGTGTTTAATTCGACATACTACTTCCCCGCTGTCTATGTCCCATGAACGCGTTTCATTGTCAAACACGAGCTTCTGGACAACCAAATGGTGTTTGTGTGATTTGAGAAGCCATCTCAGTACTTATCGCTAGCACCACCGCAAGCGTTTTCATAAGATATCACTGGAGTGTAAGTCCCAAATCCGTTGTCCTGTGACAAGTCTTCCACAAATTATATTTTGCTAACGCTCCAACTAGGTTTCTGTTTTGCATAGCGGTGTCTGAATCTACAGAGGGTATTCCTCTTTGATCTGTACTCGCATGGTAGCACTGCGCTCTGTGTTCACTTCGCCTCTTGTGTCTCAGCACTTGACTGACATGAGATTGCTTTCTCGTATTACTCCAAGCATGAAAATTCATGAGCCATATTCTTGAGAGTCCTTCCCTCCCATTCTTCTCTAAGTTTTCAGCTCCACGGAAGTAGGACTCGGTATCCGTCGAGAAGCAGCTGTGGACACCGTTGGTCAGCTATTCTACTCTTTCGATTCGTTTTCCTTTTCTCTTTCCGCGTCTCTCTTTCTACTCATTTTGTGTCCTCTGGTCATCCTTTCGTTTGGCAAGGGACCACACTCTCTGATTTTACGGGACCTCTTTCTCCACAGTCAATCAGAGAAGCTATCATGGCTACATCAGGAAGCGGTGCAGGATTAGCCGCAAATAATTCAGCGGCCGTCGCAGGTGAAGGTGGGGATTCGATGGAATTCGAGACAGAAAGCATATATTCTGCATCCCAGGCAAAAATCGGACTATTGTCGCATACTCTAGTATCAAGTCCTATCATTCAATGGATTCTCCCTGCGCATCTCAGAAGCAAAGACCAAAACGATGTCGTCTTCGTGGGTGAGCGCCATTTGCAAATCAAAGAAGCAGTATCTGGAGTTCATCTGGAGGAGGTCACTACCAAAAATGACTTTGACTCGTGTATTATGGCAGCAAAAGTC